TTTCCATTTTCCTCCCCTATAAGGGGTGGGAAACAGTGCTGTTGCGGTTAACTGCGCTGCAATTTGCGGCTAACCGCAACCACAAATTGTCCATATTCACCAACCGCGACCGCAGATAGGATGGTTAGCGGTTAACCGCAAACAGCAAAATGCGGTTAACGGTGCATGACGGTTATTGGAGTTAACAACCGATTCAACTTTGTACTTTTGATGTCGAGAGCGACGAGCAGAGCAAAGCCGATGTGCAAGAGTAGAGATAAGCCGATGTGGATGAGCAGAGCAGAGCCAATGTGCATGTTTGGACGACATGTCTGAACTTTTGAAGTTTGATGTTGAGACTCGTCGTCTAAGAAAGTTGAGCTGCGCCGCTGAACGCCAAACTGGAATCGTTAGTCAGCTACTCAGCTTGCTAGGTGACCAGGGACGGCAGTGGGCGGATTTGCTTGGAGACAAGGGTCGATGTCTCAACTTTCTCTCATACCCTCTCTCAATGGACGATGACGATTCACGTTTCACGATGATTAGGGTAGGGATTTGGCCATTTGGGATTTGGGAAAGACAGTCGTAAAATGGGGGAAGGGAAGGGGCCACGCCGAGTGTCTGGTGGGTTGGGCTACTGGGCTGAGGTGGGGTTCGTGATTTGGGCTGGTATGGAAATGGAGTTTGGGTTGGGTTTGCGGTTAGGTCTATTTTTTATTTCGGTTAAACCGCGAACCACAAAACAACCAAATCGCGAACCGCGACCTCAAAAGAGGCTGTTTTTGCGGTTTGCGGTTAACCACTAACCGCGCAGTTTCGGTGCGGTTAGCGGTTTAACCGAAAAATTGCAAACGTTTTCCCAACCATATTCCCTACCACCCTTCTCAACCTTAGGAACAAGAAAAGGGGGTTTCTCCTGCACCCAAATACCTCTCCCCTGAGACTTACCACCTGGACTATCCCCTGCAGCTGAGTGATCAAAAATTCTCTCAGTCAGAAATTATGAACTCCATGTACCATTCAATTGCTTAGTGGCCATAGGGCTCCCAGCAGCAGCTGGTGACCCCCTAACCACCTCAGCAAAACTAGCAGAAGTTCCCCCCCCCCCCCCCCCCCCCCCCCCGCCCCGCCAATATAGGAGGATTCAGTTGACCTTCTTCCTCACCAATCTCATCATTAGCCAAACCAATTTCTTCCATTATCTCACTCTCGAAAACAGACTTCCCTTTATCACTGGCAATTTGCTCAGCATGAACTAGGTGTGGCTGTACGGTCCGGTCCGGTTAAATTGGCCCGAATTGATCCGGTCCCAGTCCGGTCTTTTCGAGAATATAAGGACCAAAGATTGGATTGGATACATTCCGGTCTTGAACCGGTCCCTTCCCAATTCGGTCTTGATTTTAGATTGAGCTTGTGGAGATTTGAGTAGTCTAAGGCCTGAAAGGGTGAGGAGGTTAAATTTTGGGTTTTGGGATCTCTTATCCAGTCTTTATCCGGTTTTTGGTCCGGTCCCAAATGGTTTTTTACCTCAAATCTAGGCCGAAGATTGGATTGGATAGTTTGCTATCCGGTTCCGGTCTGGTCTCGGTCCGGTTTCGGGTAAAACCAAAAAGTTCCGACCAAATAGCCAGCCCTAGCAGGAACCACTACTTCAGGAACCACCACTTCAGAACTCGGAAAAACCGGGTGAGAAACATAGTTATTCTGCCATTTCTTACCATTCTTAGCCAGTTTCTCACAATCATGCCCTTAAACCTCACAAGTAGGACAAGTAATGGGCTTATTCAGATACTCAAATCAACCACAAAACTCGGATCATCATCAGGATATAGCCTAACCTGGGTAGGAAACCCACAATCTGCCGCCAAATCCACACACACCTTCGCGTAGCCCAGCTGTGCACCAAGTTTCGTCAGATTGTCCATCCACAACGGAGGACCAATAGTACTAGAAACCCACTCCAAACCCTCAAACGAGTGATATTCCAGAGGAATACCCCAAATCCTCACCGAGATCAGCAGATTTTCAATCACAGGAACAACCGGCTGAATCCCCAGAGCCCACTTCCGGAAGAAATCTGATTCCCCTGATAGTGTCATGGAACCGATTGAAAAACCCACTTACTCGTAGAAGTTGATGGAAAATGAAAAACGAGGAGCCTCAACCCGAATCTAGACACCCTTACCACACCATCACGCCCCCCAAAGAGACATCGAACATTGCTGTAGAAGAGAAACCTTAAGAATCAAACCTATAAACTGACCGATAAGGCGGTCTTTCCACCTTGCCTCACACAGTTTCTTCACCTTCCTGGAATACGAAACCCATCCTGCACCCTTTCCGGAAGACGAAACTTCATCTGACTCGCCTCCGGAACATTAAAAACCATCGTCCACGTCACTGGCTCTCGGGAAGGGGATAATACTGTGTATTTTAACCGGCCAAACAGAATACAATGGTGGATAAAACTCTTGAAAACTCCATTATTAGCAATGTTTGTAAAATCGTATCTTTCTGCCGGTTCTACTAAAAAATCTCTTACCGAGGGCTAATCAATAAGTGATTTTTAGTACTACAAAATAGTTGAGCCTAAATTAAAATACAATTCAACATAAAATACAATACCGTTATCTACAGGGTGCTGCAATACTTTCATTATTGATGAATGATGAGAGGGACCATTGGACAAACGTATCTACAAAAAAGCATTTAAAGGGGAAAAAATAGAAACTTTGGCTGAGACAGTTGCAAATGAGAAAGAAAAAGGAAAAACAATAAAGAAAATCCACAAGTTGCGGGAAAGCGTTTGGGGAAAAAACACTTATAAGTATTTACAGACATACATACCTAGTATATGGGTAAATTGAGAAGATTAAGATTCAAACTCCGCCCCCCACCCCACACACACACAAGCAGAAGAACACAAGTACACCTCATCAATTCTCCTCACCCGGCGGAAACTCCTCGCTGTCGACTCCTCCGCCGCTGCACCCGGGGCCCGCCTCCGCCATCTGCGATCTCCAATTCCGCGTCGTCCGCCTCCCTTAGCCGGATCCCTTCACCTTCACCAACACCTCCCTTCCATCGTCAGTTTACCTGAGTTATCAGGAGAGTTTTCCCCCTTTCGGATCTAACTCCAAATCTCGGGGTAAGGTAAGTGAGAACAACGGATGCTTCCCTCCCCGCCTTTTGCGTGTAAGCCGGCCGATTGTGGCTCGTTCCACCTTCAAGTGTGTCTTTGTTTTCATATTATTTTGACAATTTGATTTTTTTTTTCTACTTGCATGCTCTGTTTATTGTTTTCTTATTTGCAGTCTCCGCTGTTTTTGTGTTTTTGGTGGTTGAGAAAGTCTTGTTAATCATTAGCTACATGCTCCAATTGTGACTTAATAGTTTTCCTCAATGGCTTCCTGCTTCTAATTGAGTATTACGGCCTGCTGCCAGATCGTCAATCTTTCATTTTCGTTGGGGCACAGATTTAAAGGGTCTATGTTCGATTTGCTGTTTGTGTGTGTCCTCTGCTTCCTCTTTTGCAGGTTCCTTCACATTGCGCTCTTCCCCTGCTACTTTTCTTCCCCATTTGCAGCCTTGCTTCTCTGCGCTCCCCGTGATCTGGCTCTACTAGCTTCCCTTCAGGTGCGGTCTCGTCAGATCTGCTGCAGCCTCCATCTCTCCCTGCTTCCTCCTCAAGCGTGAAGTTCGAGGCGGAGGCGGTGGTGGTGCCAATCAAGCGGTGAGATGGATAAGCATCAATTGGATAAATACTATCTCTTTCAGAGTTCGTGGGTCATTCTCCTTAATTTAATTTAAAACAATTTACCTTTTTATTTGTTTATTTGTCCTTCGCAATGGATGGGTCTTTTTTTTTTTGCTCTTGTGGCATTTCTGACTGCCTTTTTTTTTTCAAAATCCTAAACTGCTTTTGCTTCTTTTTAATTCGTGTCCATCCCAGGTCGTCGCTTCGGTTTTCTTTTTAACTTTTGCCTTTAGTAGGTTATCTCTATCCCTTGTTCTTCTAGGCTATGGTTGGATGCTAGCTTTGGTTTTTTTTTACTAGTTTGATTGGACCTAATAATTCATTATATTTTCATAAAAAAACAAAAATTTCATTATATTTATATAATAACGATTCACTTTTGCGTTGATTTGAATTCCAGTTTCTCAGGCTAAGGTTGTTTTGCAGGCCATCGTAGTGGGCCTTTGTGTTGGTCACTTGAGCCTCTTTGTAGGGGCATTTTGCTTTGTTCGTGTGCAGGAACCGAAGTTCATAATTGCTTCTCCGTTTATTGTGCGATCTTGGCCGGATGGGAGGTTGCGGCATAGTGGTGCGATCGAGGATTTGCTTTCCTTCTTCAATTTTCAGCATGGTTAGTTCATGATTTTGATCCTTTAAGGAAAGAAATCATGATATTGCTAATGTCGCTCAGGTATCATAGGGTTGCCCATATCATGGCAGTAAAGCCCTATTATGTTAGACATGCAAAGGTCTTTTCATTTTTCATTTTTGATTTGACTTGCAAAGGTCATGTATATTGTGATACATTGTATCTGTTGTTCCCCTTTGGGGATATCTATGGCAAACAAAATTAAATTAAGAAGATTATAAGAGATAATCGTTCATTTTTTCCTTCCCCTTAATGTGATAGAAAGAGAAATCACCAATCTCTCTTCACTCAAACTGACCTGGTACATGTATCGGAGACCCACCAAGGTGGAGAAATGGATGCAGCAAGCAGCTAGGGGTGGCTATCCGGTCCAGTTTGGTTAAACGGTTTCGGATTGACCCGGTCCCAGTCCAGTATTTTTAGAAATATAGGGACCAAAGATAGGATTGGGTACAATCCGATTTTGATCCAGTCCGATCTTGACCTGTTTTGACCCTGATGAAGAAAATTCAGCAACTTATACCCCTTTTCTTGAAATGTAGACAACTTGTTTGTACATCATTTGTAGAAAAAAGTAAGCCAAACATGGTCCAATAAAAGATTACAAAAATCCTTATTGTCTATTACAAAATCAAAGTCCAATTCAAAATAAAGTGCATTACAACCGAACTTTATACATTAAACACCAAATCCACTCCAATCTTATTTGTTTGATTCCAATGGTGATGACTCACCCAAAACCCAAATATTTCTCCACTCTACCCAATATGCTGCTAGTGGTTCTATTCTCTTCCCTCCTCTGTCTCTCGCCTTTTCGTCCTTCAAACTCGGCCTGATGAGTTATAAAACTGTTAGCAGCTAGCCAAAACAGAGGTAAAAATAACTGGCCAAGTTAATTATATGCCATGGAAGAGACTGGAAGGAGACAATCCATGGACAAAGAGCAGGAAGAATCGCCCAAGAAGTTCAGCCGGTGGAGGAGAGAGGTTGAAAAGAGACGATTGGAGCGAAGGGTCAGTGTCGAGCTTACAGGAGGCGTACGAGAGCAAGTGGGTACTACAAAACCGAGCCAAGCTCAAGGCCCGGTGTTGCGTTCGCTTAGTCAGAGACGAGGCCGGCATCGCGATGCCATCGCTAGGTCGGATTTGAGGCCGCCATCGTGTCTTTTCGTGGAGGTGGGTAGGAGCGGAGGCGCATTCACAGTCGCTGGTCGATTTTAGAGTTAGGGTGTTCAGGTCTTCGGGAGGGAGGCTGCGATTTTCATTTGATAGGGAAATGGATTGGAGGCGTGTTTGCGATGGAATGGAGAGGGAGAGAGAATCTGCCTCCTGCAACCCTACCAAATAGAGTGGGTTGGGCTAGCTTGGTCCGCTAGGGGGATTTGCATAGGGCTCACCTGGGCCCTAGTGGGCTTTGCCTCTGGGTTTGGGTGGGCTTTGCCTCTAGTATGTTTTTTAGTCATTTGGTCTTCTGGTTTTGATACGGTTTTAAGATTTTGATACAGTTTTAACCCAGCCTGGATTTGTTCGGATTTTTTGATAATTTAGAGACCAAAGACGGGATTTGATTGTTTTACATTCGATCCCGGTCTTTAAAGATTCTGGTTATACGGTCTGTATCCGATTTCACATCCAGTCCCGGACCAAATAGACATCCCTAGCAGCAGCAGTAACACAAGGAAAGGAATCAACAAAGACTGCATTCAGTATCCAAGCATCTCTCCAAAATGGCACCCAAGATTGCATGCTTGTTTAGTTTTATAGTTTAAACAATGTTTCGATCCCTAGATAATTTGTAGTTTGCTAATGTAAGGATAGACAAACCGTTATGCTTTGATAATTCGAAAAATACTTGCTATATACTACACTAGATTGAAGGTTGCACTTGACCTTCGATTGGGAGTGGAGTTAGCCACGAGTCCATTACCCATAACAACACTACCGAAAACAGATTCTCGGAGTCTGCTCACTTTTATTTCCATTTCATGTTTTGTGTTTCCATTCCATAAATCTGGCAATGAAAACAAGAAAATCTTATTACTTTTCATTTTGTTTTTTGTTGGTTTCCAACTTTGAAAACAGAAAGTGGTAGCTCCCTGTGGTTTCCGAAAATATTTTGTATTTAAAATTGAACAACAAGAGAACAACACACAGTTGGGCAGCTCTTTCTTTTAAAAGAATCTTAGTTACTTAATGTCGAAATCGGATAGTTCCATTTGTAAGATATTATGTCCGTTTTGTGCCAAGCCCGCACGGTTTTACTTTTAGGTATCCTCCCCAAAAGGCCTCGTACTAATGAGCTTGGTGGACCCTTATATACAAGGGTCACTTTCCTTGTATTACCAATGTGGTACTTGGATTGTCTCATGACAATCCTCCCGTGAATACAAGCGATTATCTTGATCCGCCAAATAGACGCAAATCTCAAATCTCGAGGTCACCATATGAGGGTCCCACCAAACTGACATCCACCGCCCCAAATTCGTCGAAGAATGCTCTTATACCACTTGCAGAAACCAGGCAGCTCTATTGGTATGATATTTCCCTCTTTTGGGCCAAGCCCGCATGGTTTTACTTTGGGGTATCATCCCCAAAAGGCCTCGTACTAATGAGCTTGGTGGACACCTATATACAAGGGTCTCTTCCCTTGTATTACTGATGTGGTACTTGGATTGTCCCATAACACTTAACTGGGTACCCTAGTTTGGCCCGAAGTTTGACGTAAATGTCAATTTTGTCCCGAATTTTCGAATAAGACAGTTATGGCCAACTTTTCAAATTATTGGACAGATTTGCCCCGGCGTTTGGCTTGACAATTAATACTAACGGTCAAATGTTTTTTTTATAAGGGTGAAATAAGTTTAGATTACAAAAGGAAAACAACAAGAACAACACAAAAGAAAAGGAGGGCGCCAGAAACCTGCGCCACCAACCAAATACAGCAGCGATAGCTTAACAACAAAAACAAAAATGACAGACGCCAGAAGAAGAAAAGCACGGTGTTTGCCACAAGTAAAAACACCCGCAAGCGCTAGACGTCAAGAAGATGGGTGCTGCGGGGGATTATTACTCGCCCCAACGGGAAGACTCCTCGGAAGAACCCTGGAAATAAGGTGTTGAAACCACGGATCAGCAACCAACCTGTCCACTCTTTTAGCCACGATCAACCAATCAACAATGTCTTTGCCAATGCAAAAACAAACATGTTCTGGAGTGGTCTTCTTGTCTCTGAACGTCCTAGCGTTTCTCTCATGCCACAACCTCCAGCAGAGGCCGTGAAGTAAAACCTTCGTGCACCAGTTCGCCGGGTTATCCGATTTTTCGCACCACCAAGAACAAATAATTGACTTGATATCCAGGGAATGAAACCTGAATTTCACGAACGCCGACATGATCTTCCAGAACTTACGCGCAAACCTGCAGTTAACCAGCAGATGATCAAGAGTTTCCTCCTCCTCTTCACACATGACACAACGACTCGGGATCGCCGGCCCTTTGATTTCAGCACATCATGAGTCAAGGTCCTCTTGCGAAAAACAATCCACATAAAGACACAAATCTTGAAAGGGACCTTCGCTGCCACACCACCTTAACAGGAAACAGATCTAACCCATGGAAGCGTTTCCGCACGAGCTCTTGATAAAGGGAGTGAGCAGTGAACCCCGAACAGGCTGAGGGGTGCCAAACGATGTGAGCAGGGCCTGCAAGATTACTATCCAAGTGCAGATTGTTAAGAAAAAAAAAAAAACCTCTCTTTTTCTCTCTCTGCTCCCCCTCTCAAAGAAAGACGGAGATTAATCTCCCAAGAAACTCTCCCCTCCCCCCCAACTTGCTACTTCAGTAATCCGACAATTCGACAACTTTGCAGCAGCATAAATCCTCGGAAATTCAGTAGCAAGAAGTCTCCCTTGATTCCAATAATCATGCCAGAAAGAAATTCCGACCCCGGAGCCAGGATCGATATGAGCAAATTTCCAAAACAGGTCTTTCAGCTTCATAATCTGAATCCAGGGACTGGTGCCAGCAGCACGACGCGGCACACCAGGCATCGAATCAGAAATCTCATTAGGAAATTTCAGATCAATCATCTGACGCCACCACGATCCCCGTTCCCGTGCAAATCTCCACCACCACTTACAAAGGAGGGAAAGATTTATGAGTTTCAAATCTGAGATGCCAAGCCCACCAAGATGCTTCGTCGCTTTACACTTCTCCCAAGAAACCAAATGGACTTTATTTTACCACCGCGGCCCTGACCAAATAAAATCGCTCTAAAGCTTCTCAAGAGCTTCGATAATCTTCATCGGGGCCATAAAGAGACTGAACATATATATTGGCTGAGCAGCCAGCACCGCATTGCACAGAATGATGCGCCCACCAAGGGATAACAACTGTCCCCACCATCCTTCTAATCTCTTCCTCACTCTATCTATAATAGGGTTCCAGATTACCACTGAAGAAGGGCAGCTCCCAAAGGAAGTCTCAAATAAAGGGAGGATAAGAATCTCCAATCACACCCAATGATTTCGGCCAATCTTTCCAAATTATCTATTTCACCAACTGGGAAAAGAACACTCTTCTCTAGATTCACCCTAAGACCCGTGATGCACTGAAAACAAGTCAACGCAGCAGTCAGGTTGAAAGTGTCCTCTTCTGATGCGTCCAGAAAAATTAACGCATCATCTGCATAGAATAGGTGATTAACCTGCCCTCTACCACCCTTATCATCAATAAAGAAACCTTGGATGAGACCAGCTTCTTGCTTTAAACCCTTCTGAGCCATGAAAAAACCCCCCAGATTCGCCATTCACAAGAACTGACAGTTTGGAAGAGCAGACAATACCACGGATCCATTTCTGAAACCTCGGATTTAATCCCATATTGTTCAAAGCTTTAAAAAGAAACCTTCAGTTCACTGAGTCAAAAGCCCTCTCAATGTCCAGTTTTAGGAGAAGACCTGGTCTCTTACACTGTAACCTGCTGTCAATTAATACATTCGCGATTAAAGCAGCTTCATGAATTTGACGATTCTTGGCACCTGCAACTGCTATCGAGAAATAATCTTTTTTCCCATAAAAGGTTGAAGGCGGCCAAAAAGAAGCTTCGAGATGATTTTCTGAAGACTCCCGATGAGGCTAATAGGTCTGAATTCTTTAACTTCCTCCGCAGTCTCCTTCTTCGGGATTAAGCAAATGAAAGAATGGGAGACAGAATCCGGCAAGAAGCCAGTCAAGAAGAATTCATCGAAGGCTTTTATGATATCCCCTTTGATGATGTGCCAGGCTTTCTTGAAGAACTCCAAAGAGAAACCGTCAGGACCCGGGGCCTTGTCACCACCACAAGAATGAATCGCCTGCCAAATTTCCATCTCGGTAAAAGGAATAATAAGTTTGGAGTTATCATCCAGAGTAAAAAGGTCCTTCTTAAAATCACTGGGAAAGGGCCTTTCTTGAACCTCTTCTGCAAATCCGGATTTAAAATGATCAATAAACACCTTCTTCAGAGCCTCCTTCCCCGAGACGAAACCCCCATCTACTTTATTTCCATGTACCCAATTCTTCCTGCGATTATTGTTGGCAACCCGATGAAAATAAGCTGAGTTTTTTCCCCCACGCCTAACCACAGCTCCCTGGACTTTTGCCGCCAAGAAATCTCTTCCATAATTAGGATCCTATCCAACTCAAGCTTGAGAAGACTTCTCTCCTGAATCAGAACATATGAAATGTGACCACTTTCCTCCAAATCATCGATACTCTTAATCTGCTTCAGAAGATGTTCAATTTTCTGACTTGTTCTACCAAAAACCTGGGCATTCCATATCTTAATCATCTGCTTAACCTATCTAAGACGCTGCCCTGTCCGAAATAATAACCCAGAACCCTCAACCGGGATGTTCCACCAGCCTACCAGACTCTGCATAAAAGATTCCTCCATCAACCACATGTTTTCGAAACGCCAAGGTCTGTGAAAACACCCCATTTAACCATGATCGGATTATGGTCAGATTCAACTCTTTCAAACGCCAGCAGGGGACCAGGAGACAACAGTTCATCAAAGCTCAAGTTCACTAAGGCTCTGTCAATGCGGGACATAGAAATACTATTACCACCTCCACTTCGCGTAAAACGGGCCCCTAGTTAGATGGAGATCAATCAGACAGTTTTGATTAATGAAGGCATTAAATTCTTCCATCAACTCCCTGCATCTAGGGCTGCCTCTAAAATCCTCATCAATCCTGACCAGATTGAGATCCCCCAAGATACATAGGGGGTCACTATATCTTCTGCAGATGG